ATCGCACTTTAACTACTCCAGGAGATCCTCTATCTTTCGTTGCTCAAGAACATTGCCTGTTTCCATAGTGCACGTCCATCGAAACCCTACAACTATCCTACTTCAATTAGGTTTCGGTATGATACGGATGGCCATCATTCAAGATTTACTCACCTCCATCTGTGACCGGCGGTGTGGACTGGTGCGAGAAGTTGGATGGGCGCTGACAGCTTTCAGTCAGTGGTCACACAGCCGGCTTTCGTGTGATTCTCCCGAATTCAACCCCGGTTTCTCGACATGACTGTCAATTTCACTTGAATCTTTATTCCGCACTTCAAAGGCTCGCTTAGGCTCAGGTACTGACCGCTTTGCAGTGCTATTGAGGGGCAGATGGTTCTCGTTCCACTTTACTCTGTTTTCTGAGTTTCTCCCGAGGGTTCTACCACTACTTACCTGGTGCTGGCTTACTCACAACTCGTGTTCATATCGCCGCCATTGGTTGCTCCACTTCAGCAGCAGCTGATGCTGATGGACAGAAAACCGAACCCAAGCCTCACGGTGATGGTCGCGATATGAAATACCGCCGCCCGGCGCTTATTCACATTCAGGCACCGTTCGGCGTCCGACAACTCGGTTTCAATTCAGCAACCTCACTGGCCTCTCCTGATCGAAGGTTTGAACCACGGTGCTTGTCGATCACCTTCCAAGGTCAGTAACAAATACCGTTCCCGTTCGACGAGAAGGTCTAATCCTCCCTTTTCAGTCCCCAGGACAAGGTTTTCCGTTACCTAGGCGGCCACACAGGGTTGCCCGAGCGCCTGACCGTAATGCCGTTCATGGATTATGAAGGGCCGTCCTTTTGACAAGGAGGTATTGATGTTATTTCTGACAGCCCGACGTTTGACAGCTCCTTTGTCGTGACGCGGACCCAGGCAGTGCTAGAGTCACTTTCAGAGCCCTTATAAGCTCTTCCGCCGGTTTGAACCTCACCTCCTTCCCTTGTCCTTCGGCCAAACTAGCTCGGGTTTCGAGTCTCGACCGTTTGCATCCTTGTTTCTGTCAACTAATCGCGCTACAATTCACGATGGCTTGGGCTCTGATGAACTTTGGTCGTATGGGGGTGATGGGTACGTTTACTAGAGTGTTCAATTTTGTCGGATGGGATGCTCAACTCTCGTTTTGTAGGCACTGTTACCCTGTTCAGCTTCATCTGTCTGGCGCTTGCTGCCCACATAACTTATATCACCTCGAGTGAGCGTGTCCGCGCGAGGAACTTCCAAGGCCTTTCCATCGCGGCCTCGGTCCTAACTCTCGCCTCGGTGCCTGTATTGTGGGTTCTGCCTCTCTCCTCTTCTGTGTGAAGTCTTGCTCACACTTCTGGCATGTTTCAGCCTCGTGGTGGGATTCCTTAGGAAAGGATCCTTCCTGACGATGAACGTCGTCGAGGTCCCAGTCCTTGGTATGTTTGTCCTGATGTTTTGATTGCCGTCGCGACTCTGAGCACAAATCCTCATTTTTAGGCTTCCTTGCCATTCTCTGGATGGCCAACGGAATCTTGATGAGCGAGTGGGCTTCCATCATCGGCTATGCCGAAGTTGGATGTGGTTGGGAAGGCTTTACTAGTATGTCTTGCTCTTTCCGAGTCTCCTCGTTCCAAGCTGATTTCTGGTTTCCCAGGTGGTCAATCCGGCTTCTGTAGCGAGTTCACCGCCGTCGAGGCCTTCTCGTTCCTTAACTGGATTCTCCGTGAGTTGATTCTCCCCTGCCTTACTTACTTCAGCTTCGTGGCTGACGCCCCCACCTAGTCTTCGCCTACATCGCGTTCGTCGTCGTTGTTTGCCTCATTGGTAAATCCCGTGGAAACAACGTCTGGCTCGTCGGTGCCCATGACGCCGAGTACTTCGCCCACAACAAGAAAAACAGCAATGTTATGATGACCCCGCCTCAGCAGATGCACCAGCCTCAGTATACCGGTCAGATGCAACAACAACCCCAGTTCACCGGTCAACCTCAGCAGCAGCAGATGATGCAGCAACCTCAGTACCAGCCCCAACAGATCCAGCAGCAGGGACAGATGATGTATAACCCCGCTGGTACTCCTCCCGCTCAAGGGTATTCTCCTGCACCCGTTCATGCTCAGGTATAGAGTCGTTCGTTCTGTGTATGGTAGGTAGCAAATGCGTGTAGTCGTGGAAATGCGAGTTTTGTTAACGTTATTTTGGGGTTTCTGAACGTTCATCCTGTCGTCAGTTTTACTGTATACCTATCACTTTCTCTCCTTTTTGTTCATTTCGTCCCTGCCGTTGTCATATCTATTCGTTCCTAATGTACCATAATCGGTAAAAATCATTCATCTTCGAATCTCTGTCGAAGGCGAAATTAATGAGCCGAAGTGTGGAAGAGAAGAGGAGAAGTCATACTATTCTGACATCCGATGTGTCCTGGACGGGAATAAGGAAACACCTGTAAAACAGGTTGTTCCCGTCGGTTCCCCACCTCGGGAATTTTTTCTGAGCAAATTATAGTACATACCAACCTGTCATTATCACCGCTAGCCCAAAGCATGAAGGGAATGAGAATGGGAGGCGAAAAACCTCGAAATTTAGTGTGTGATTCGAGCGTGACAGTCCAGGAACCAAATGACATTGCATCGAGTCCACAGGGTAAGTACCTAGGTATGCATGTGCATATTGAAACTTTCCAAAAACCAAAATCTAGAGGGAGGTGGGGACAGGAGCGAGCTCGGTGAGCGTTGAGGAATGAAAACAGACTGAAAATGTACTCACGGAGGTAATGCCAAAATGATGGCCATCAAGCGCAGATCAGGCGTGACATTTTGTGACGCCAAGCAATTCCTTATCTCTTGCATTGTCGCCACGCGCACCCTCAGATTTAGCGGGTCACGTGGCACTTCCGCGCGTCTTCTTGTTGTGGAATCCGCTAATCAAGTCCCACAGCCTTCAACAAGCCTCGCCCATGTTCTACGCTGCCTGACACGGTCAACAGAGCCCTCGGAGGCTCTATTCTCACTACCAATTCACTTACTGAGAGCCTAGAGGAACATACATCTCATTTACCGATTACTAATACATATACGTTGTTGAATACTGCTTCCTTGTACTTAAGTTTTAGTCGACTCAGACGCCATCGTATGCCTGTTGTATATGGCACCGTGACTTTCTCGGCCTTACTTCTGACCCTAGTGTACCTGAGGGAAATTAGGTCGCTTTTCAACGCGTCCGGCGTCCGTCTAGGTGCGTCTTAAATAATTCTCAGCTTCTCACACACTTTTTGAGAAGCCCGAGTTGTTGCGGTATTCTTTTAGACCTGTAACTTCAAGCCGCGAGTGCTTTGCACATGGTGCTAAAGTCCTCACTTCATTCTCATTATCCCCGTGTATTCAATCACCAAACTCTACTACTTCAACACGTCAGTTAGATCTATCCGGGTATCTGCAGAGTAAGACGGTCGTAACCCGACTCATAAAGAAAGCGACTCAACAAAGACGTCAAGTTAAGAGAATTTTTTTAGGAAGGAGTTTTGACGCGACCTGGTAGTGAATGCGATTGGTTTGCCCTCAAAAGTTCAAACAACAATTTTAGAAGGGAAATTATAATAAATTGGTACTAGATACAGACATGATGGTTCATCTAGCTATGTATAAATGTAAATAGGCAGCGTGGAACATGGGCGAGGCTTGTTGAAGGCAGGCCGTGGGACTTAGCGGAGTCCACAAGAAGACGCGCGGAAGTGCCACGTGACCCGCCAAATCTGAGGGTGCGCGTGGCGACAATCCCCCATCGCGTTAACCCTTCGAGCAATCACGATCCCAATCCTATGCGGCAACACCGTCGTCTTCCGACCCTCCGAGATCTCCCCAGGTTCTTGCGCAATCGTCTACGAAGTACTTAAAGCAGCTGGGTTACCCGATGGAGTATTCAACTTCCTCTCGATCAGGAAGGAAGACACCCCAACTCTCACAGCTGAAATCATCGCCGACAGTAGAGTGAGGAAGGTCACGTTTACGGGATCAGACCGCGTAGGAAAAATCATCGCTATGGAATGTGCTAAACACCTCAAACCCTGCGTTCTCGAATTGGGTGGGAAAGCACCTGCGATCGTGTTAGACGATGCCCCTGTTGGGGTGGCAGCGAAACAGATTCTGGCGGGGGCGACGATGCATAGTGGGCAGATTTGTATGTCTACGGAGAGGGTTATCGTGCAGAGGGGGGTTGTGGAGGAGTTTACCGAGGAACTGTTGAAAGTGGCTAGGGAGCTACGGGATAAAGGTTCAAAAGGGTTGGGAACGTTGTTTGCGGAAAACCATGCAGAGAATGTGGTAGAGATGATTCGGGAGGCGCAGCTAAGGGGTGGGGCGCAGGTGTTGTTGGGTGATGTGAAGAGGGAGGGAAGTGTTGTGGGCCCGCACGTCGTGTTGATGGACGAGGATAAGAGTCGGAAGAAGGGGTTGGGGATTTGGGAGAGGGAGTCGTTTGGTCCGGGTGAGTGTGATAGGTTTCCTGAATTGCTTCGTCTATACTGACAACCTGCAGTACTTACACTGACAACCGTCGACACGGTCCAAGAAGCAATCGACGCAGCCAACGACTCTGACTACAGCCTGACAAGCTCCGTCTGGACGAAGGATCTGTACCTGGCGAGGAAGATCGCAAAGGCCGTTCGAGCTGGGTATACGAACATCAACGGGAGCACTATCCACTCCGAACCCGTATTGGGGTTGATCGGGTTGGGGTACGTTACCATCCAATCGCACCTCTTACCATGTGTGTTTACGCTAACGAATCTCACCTCACAGCGGCTCATCCGGCTACGGTCGCTTCGGCGTAGACGATTTCACCTACGAGAAATGTATCGTCATTCATCCTGAACAACTGTAGTTTTACTTGTACTCGATTTTTATCATCTATTATCAAAGAGACGTGTTCCTGAATCCTCGAGATCAACCGTTTCACCCAGAGAGAAAGCGGGCAAAAAAGAGCACACCTCTATAAAGTACACAGTACACCGTTCGGGAATCGAACCCGAGCCGCTTGCTCTAAATTACTATGGAGGATATTTCCAGCCCATGGAAGGCAAGCATGATAACCACTTCACCAACGGTGTTCTCACTTTTGAGGGCTGGAAGGACAAGCCATCAGGAATATTACCATGAAAGACTTTGCGGGTTGTCCGTCTTACTCTCATCTTATCTCACACGCATGTAGGAAATACCTTTTCTCAACAGACACATCGCCGGCTCGGTATCATCATACGGATCCCTTTTTGGATTGCACAGCGAGAGGAAACAGACGGTGGAGGATGTATAAGACTCGAACGAAAAAATAGAAGAAGGAAAAGGAACGTCAGGAGTCGGATACATCCAGTTCCTGCTTGTGAACCGCTGTTGGCCTGCTGGCGATAGTATACCTTTTGCTATTTTGTTGGACTCACTCATGCCAGCTCACGGTACTATTCTCAAATGTCAACGCTCACGATATGTGACGTGTCTTCCCCCCTCTTGATTGAACTCTGCTCACGGTTGATTTTTTGGCGCGCTCGAGAATTCTGAATAGCAAACCTTTGCGTCTGCTTTTTCGTCTTCGGATTGGTACTGGTACTGGTATCATCCTCAAACCTCTCCTTATGTCTTCCCCCCCTACCCATGACGACTCTAAAGTGCTCCTTCCGACATCCAAACGGCCAGGATACCAGTATACATTTCGAGAAGAAACAGGTCGTCGTCGGTCAAGAACTCCCCAATCCAAACTTGAACTTGTTCATTCTAATTACTTTTGCGTCCTCAAGCTTCAAGTCCTCAATCCCTTGGCTCTTGAGTCTTCCCCGGTACGAATGTGAACCTTCAACTTCAAATACCGATTCAAGATGTCGGACTCGAGCTGAATATCAATCAAGGGGTCCCAGGCTCGTTACGCGTGTTCGTCTGTTCGTTTTCCCCCTCTCTCTCCAGACCAGTACTTGGCATATAATCCCGAAGTCCACCTCAGACGCTCAAGAGTGTTCGTCAAGTTCTCGGCTTTCACGAGGAAGCAACAACCATCAACCAACAATCCGAACCGTACCATCGCTCCTCTCATGCTACATTCTACAAATCACCTCAACAACCCCGAGCACGTAAAACTTCATCTCCGAGTTGGGCCCGTTCACTTTTCCGCTTCTTACTAGTATCGGATGGTGGTATGTCTGCGTTCGGTGCACTCTTCTCCCGGAGTCCCTTGCCGCGACCTTGACAAACTGACGAGGTCTTGCTACTATAACATCAACGATCATTGCTTTTGAGATCGGTATGTGTGTGTGCACGAGCTCCTCTCACACATTAACTGAAGAAAAAACCGCTCCCCTCCATCTAATCATCGTTGTTGTTTGCCCAATCCCCACCCCTACCCCATCCGAACTGAGGTTCCTCTTGATATCAATGACCCTCCTCGGATGTCACGTAACTCATCATCCCACCTACTTTCCTCTTCGTGTCCATCCGTCTCTACAACCGCGATAGAAAGATCGAGAATGGTTCTCATGAGGAATTTATAAAGTCCCGAGTTCGGGCATAGACATGTCATTCAGAATATGTAAGCCCCCCTGTATATGTCGCTCGCTGTCTTTGCTAACTCACTTCTTCGGGATAGATATTTGATGGTTGAACTTCCAGCGTCAGAGTTGAAGAGACGGACGAAAGTCTTAGCGGATATCTGTCGGTGAAGTCGCAAGTGCGCATTTGTGTGAGAAAACTCCGCCGTGCGCTCGAACCTTGACTACTCGAACGTTCTCGTCGCTCGTATTTTTCACGGCGAACCTTTCGTGCTAGCAACGAGTGGTTGGAAATATGTCCAGATTCTATCAGCTCTTAATTCCCCTCCTCATACAGCGAGCCTCCTGACTTGCCACTGGTGTTCGCGCCATTGGTATCCTCGAATCGAGCCCCGGAACATGCGGGGAGAGTAGCGAATTTTTCAAACGAGAAGGAGGGAGAGAAACGACAGAGGTGACCAGGGCACAAATCAATATCGAGACACCAAAAACCCACCCGCGAAGTTGGAACGAGCCCAATCTTGCTATTAGGATGAATTCAATCCTCCCATCGCAACACCTTCGTAAGTTCTGCATACAAAGTCACAGTGAGGCTCCTCTCCTTCGGCTCCAGCTCGGTCGTATACCTTGCAAGTTCACCTATCCAATCTGATTCCGTCAACCTGTAATCGCTGGCAAGTTGAATCGATGGTTTGAGAATGGGGGGTTGTGAGTCCCAGGGTTCCCCCTCCACTGGGTTCTCTTTTTTTATGCATCTTTCGATATCGTACAGATCCGCATCGTTCGTTGACGTTCCATAATAGAAGGCCACTTCAACTATCAGAGACGCCGAAATCGACGTGCAAGGGGAGGATGATAGGCTCTCTCTCTTGTACGTCTGGATTCTGAAGTGAACTGGCTGGCTGGCACGCGGTGCACGGTTTGGTACTCACTAGAGTAGTTGGTCTTTCATCATGTACTTGTGGTCCACGCGGACATTACTCTTCGCGTTTATGCCAGCCGATGGAGGTGTAAGTAGGCGTGAGAAAACTTCCGGCTACTGTTTGTGCCTGCCGCTCGAAGCTCGAACATTGACCACGACCTTCTCCTCGATCAGCGAATCCCTCACGGCGAATACTGGACATCGAACACTTCGTGCAAGAAACAAAAAGATTCTCTCATTCCGATACATCAAACCCAGGATTCCGAGGAAATACCGGTTTTGCAGAAAAACTGATGGTACTTCAATGCTAGCTAGCCCACCAAAAACTCGATTCTCGTAATCTTACTGCACCCGAAGCCAAGTCTACACGACCTTTCCATTCGACTTCAGTTCCACTCAGACTTCAGCTCCACTCAAGAATCGCAGATGACGACGAATACAACGAGTTTCGGAGGGGGTGGGAGGAGCTCGGGAAATGGGGCTCGTCGATGCTCAGTCGCGACTATGTAGAGGAACAACCCTCTTGTTGAAACATCTGGAAGGCAAATAGGAGGAAGATACGACCCAAAATGTCCTGACATTGGAGTACGGACTGATGACTCAGATTCATTTGACTACCTTGACAAACACGACCCTCGGAATGGCCACTACGCGTACATCACGGTGCACGAGTCCACTTGCATTCGCCTATTTGACTGTCCTCCAGAGTGCATGCTCTTCTGAGCTCCGCTTCTTCAGTGTTCACCCTACCGGTCTACAAACGGTTACGTCTGAACGTCAAGTTCTCCTGTGGCTGTGGTGTCTCTCGTTCAATACTTTTTTGAAATTCAAAACGACACCTGTAATGTCTGGGCAATGGATAGTCGGAGAAACGAGAAAGGATACAGCTGTACGAACTCTGCGCACGCTTTTTTCAGGCGCAAACTTGTACGCAAAATCGTCCGCCGTCCGGTGAATTGATAATTTGAGACAATCTCGTGAATCTGCTACGAAGGAAGATGAACGGGCGACCGCTGAGAACTCGTTCAACCCATTATTTTTTTCCCTCTCGACTAGCAAATGTGTAACTCGGATTTCCCCTCTCTCCGAATGACTTTTGAGGAACCTGTTGGTCCTTCGATATATACGGCTTGCACACATGTGCCTGGTAGTGTTTCACTTGTCTTCTTGTCACCAATTTGATGTTGATACTCACTACCATCCCAGCATCACCGCCGAGACTCCCATACCAATCTGGGAAGAATAATCGTCGAGGTGGTGTTTTTTTTTTGAGACATTTCGAGCCTCATTCCCACTATAACTCCAAAGGGCCAACGGGATTGAATATTGAATGATCTAGCTTCAGGAACGATTCCTTGAACCCACCGATGGAGAAGACCATGCGCGGAGCCCGTGTGACGTTCATCAGCACAAGCGCATTCAATCCATCTTATTACACCTCCAAGACTACGGTCCTGTAGACCTCTTGGGTGAACGGGCCAGAGGGTTTGTCCTGGATCGACGCATCGGGAACATAGAGGCGGCCCAGTGGATCGTAATATTAGGCGCACTTGCACCCCAGCTATTTCAGGCCATGGCCAGCGGCTATCGATAGTCTCCGTCGACTAGACACTCACCGGCATCTCTACAGCCATGCCATAAGTATCCCTTCTTTTTTGACATGCGCCTGCCAGGTGCATCAATGCCAACACGTTCACGGCACACCACCACCACCTTCACCATCTCAGCCAAGAAGCTTGCTCATCTCTTCCCCCACCCCATCCTGTTGAGCTGAACCTTCCTGTTGGACCTTCTTGCAAGCAAATTGTTCTCCCGTGATACGACTGACTATCCGGTGTGGTTGATGTCGATGCAGTACACCCACTCTGGCTGGGGTCCACACCACAGCAGTGACGGTGGAGCGTACCCGAACCTCAGTTATGGTCGAGACCAGAATATCAACAATCAGGGATACCAGACCATCAATAGCGGGGGGCAGATTGGCCAGATTGGCCAGACAACGGGCGGGGCGGTCACGAATGCAGGTCGAGATTTTGTCAACAATTTCTACACAACAATAGGCAATCGTAAGTCACTTGTTGCTTCTTTTGCTCCAGTCTGTCTTCCACTGAGCTGCTACAGCATCCGCCAACATCTGGAGTGTAATTACCGGCGTTGGAGCGTCTCACACAGCAGAGCAACAGTTTTCGCGAGGAAACTGTCTACCGGGAACATGTGTAGAAGCGATCAGAAGCGTTCATAATTGGCGGTCAAGCAGAGAGCAAGACCATCCCATCTGCTGGCTCACGGGCGCCGCCGGTGTTGGAAAATCTGCAATAGCTATGACCGTCGCCGAAGACTGTGAAAAAGCAGGCGCCCTCGTATCCTCATTCTTCTTCTTCCGATCCGACCCAAAACGCGATAATCCCTCCGCCCTCTGGCTCACTATCGCCCATGAACTTGCCTCCAGCATGGAAGTCATGCGTAGCGCCATTGAGGAACGAATCTTGACCAATCCAATGATTGTCTCCGCCAGCCTGGAGCACCAATTCCGTGAGCTTATTCTCGATCCTGCACCGAGTTGGGACTGGCCAGGAGGCCTGTGGGGGTTCTTCAATGACCTCGCAGGTGTGTCGCCGCTTCCAAATGTCATCATCATTGACGGATTAGATGAGTGCGGAGACGAGGAGATCCAGTTGCGAATTCTCGCTATTATTCAATCTGCCTTCCAGCGGGTACCTCACCTTCCATTACGACTCTTAATCTGCAGTCGTCCTGAATCGTGGATCCGGGAGGCCTTTTCTGATAAACCGTTGTCTCAACTCACGAAAACGGTCGTTTTGAACGATTCGCTTGAGGCCCGCCACGACATCAGGCAGTATTACCTGCACTGCTTTCAGGAGATTGTCACCAGTCGCAGGTACTCCCAAGTCCAGTTTTCAAATCCCTGGCCCTCGACGTGGGACCTTGAAACTCTGGTCGAGAGATCCTGTGGCCAATTCATCTATGCGGTAACAGTCATCATGTTTGTCAAGCTCGCATGCAATCATCCCATTGTTCAACTTCGTGTTATTCTCGAGAACACCTCCCCTCGTCACCCAGCAACATCACCATATCCCATGCTTGATGCACTGTATGATCTCATACTCAGTGCACATCCATACCACGAGGACCTTGTCTGTGTTCTTGCAGCCATTCTCGTTCTTCCAGGTTACCTGGATCCGTCCCCATTACATATTGAGCTGTTACTAGATTGGCCCTCAGGTCAAGTGGCCCTGACATTGCGTGCCATGCACTCAGTGCTGAACGTCAATAGTCCAACGCACGGAATTCACCCATACCACAAGTCATTCAGGGATTATCTGGTCGAAAAGAGAAGATCGCGTGACTTCCATATCGACACGGACGCTCAGAAATATCACATCGCGCAAAAATGGCTCCAGAACCTTTCAAAGGATAAAATGGAGACTTACAGGTATGCAGACGCCCTCGAATATCCTGGAGTTCCTGCCAATTTATCACATGCATCTAGTTGGTAGCAACAATCAGCTTGATGGCCTTGGAACCAGAGCCTTCTTCATGCAATGGGTTGCATTTTGTGCATCGTTACCTAGCCCAACACCACATTTATTGGATGAGTTGCGAAACATTGACCTTGCTGCTACATATATGGTGCATGGGGGCTCCTGGGAAGGCAGGTTTCGAGAGCTGAAATCATGGATGGAGGCCACAGGGAGACATGTAAGTCTGACCAACCTCTCTGTTTTACTCGGATTGCTTCCGTGCTCATTGGTCCTCTTTACCACACACTACAAGCCCTGCATACGAGGACCTCGCGCAAAAATTCCAGGCTCGTCCCAAGTGTTTCCATCTTGAATGGCCTTTGGGTGTATCCCCACGATTGGACATCTTAAATTGGATTACTCAAGTCACCACAGGAGTCACCGAGACAATTGTGCGATTCAGCAACAGTTGAATGCCACGCCTCACAGACTGCCGCTGTGACCTTGTGGTAGGGACAGAGTCGTGCAATCCAAGGCACCTTGCGTACCAAACAGCTTGCATAGGACTCCTTGAGGAGTTAGTCTCTTGTTTTGAGGCTTTTGTAAGCACAGTAGGCTCGGTGGCCTTTGAAAGGGTCTATAAGTCGAACTTGCCATCTATGTTTCGGGACATAGTGGAGTCATCACTCTTGCAACACTGCCGTCTTGATGAAAAGCTTCTTTCGCGCTGCCAAATATTCTTTGACCTCGCGAAGAGTTGCCCGTCCATTGGGATCGACTCCCCCCGGGGAAGGGAGAATATACTTGGGTGGATCGAGGTGAGTAGATTGCTTCTGAACTGCAATTCAAAGTTTTCATTGGACTGTTCCGGTATTCATGCCTCGCCTCCCTACTAGACCTTCCCGGATAGATTCGCTGGAGAAGCACAAGCTTTGAAAGAGCAATTCCTCGGCTTGCCATGGGAACAGTGGCTCCTGTCCTCAAACATGGGTCCTGTACTAACGAGTCACGTCGAAACCTTGCCAGCTTGATTCTCAGACTCAAGAAAAAGCAAGACAATTTCGAGAGGACCCTCTATGATTGTGTTTACATGCATATCGACTAGGGGCGAACTTTGGTAACAAAAAGCATTCACGCGGGGGATTATGCGTAGTTAATCATGCTCACATAGCTTGATACATATGTTACTCAATTCATAACCGTACATTGAGATTCAACTCACTGACCTAGAAGATGCAAGGTCCAACTCTCGTCGTCAGCCTCGATGAATGTAGCAGTGGCTTGTGTCCTCTCCTTGAGGCCGGTTGATGAGGTTTGGGATGTCCTGGAGAGAATCACGTTCATGAGACAAAAGCGCCGTCGATGCAACTCGAAAAAGGTCACTAAGACACCGCGGTAGCAAGGGCAAGGAGCGGATGAAGCGGAGAGGACACTGAGGAGGGGTATCGAGCCGCATTTGTAAAGGGTGTTGAGGGTCGTTAGGATCTTGCCCGGTATTTACACAAAGTCAAGCTTCTGGCTCTGATTGGGAAGCACGCGTTGGTGATTTGAAATGGGAATACCTGGCGAACTGAGTATCGAACCAGGATAAGAGATAGCGGGTGGTCTAAGCCGAAGAACAGAAAGATCATCAGCGCACGTATGAATTGCAAGAAGCCAAATTATGCACCACAACTCACTGACACCCTTCTGTCCATCTTCATATGACCGTGCTCGCGAGGTAGAAGCCCTTTACACTCGCCTGGAGCTTCCTCGCCGCATTGAGGAAGGTGATTATTGTTGTGGATAAGAAAGTGAGGAGTCTGCCACCGTTCTGACCGAGGGGACAAGAACAATCAACCAAAGTCGGCAAATGCGGCGTCCTCTTCTAACGAATGTCGAAACCTTGTCAGCTTGACTCATGAAAACTAAGACAACACAACACACCTTTGTTCCTTTTTTCCGCTATCAAGGTCATAGTCCCATCCTGTTCGAATCATTATCTGGCCCAACGGTCATCTCCGACCGAAGCCACGGTTCCGAAACAAAGAGATAGGGAGAGGGAGTATTCTGCTTGGTGGCCAGTGAATGAATATCGGCAGAGATCAAGCGTTCAAGACTCCAAGAAATGGGTAACGAGCGCTTCGGATACAGAAGTTTGCTACGCGTCGAGATTTCGTGATGTGCCAGGTCCGGGCCGGTGCATCTTGTTCTAACTCTCACTACGACCATCCATGCTTTTCCCCCACTCGTCATGTTCCTCGACCCATCGGGAGCTGCTCTTTATATATGAACTCTCACAAGCTAATTCGATAAAATGTTTGTCAATCTCACTTGACTGTTAGCCATGTCGACCTCCCTGCCACACACACCGCTCTACATAAACGGTCAACCCGTCAAGACCACACAAACATTCGACATCCTCACTCCAGGTTCCTTAAAACCCGTCGGTACCTGCGCCAGCGCATCCTCTCAGAACTGTCAAGACGCCATCTCCGCCGCTCACGATGCTTTCAAAGGCTGGAGTCAAACCAACATCAACACCCGAATCCACATCTTCACCCGAGCCGCTGAATTACTCGAAGAAAACGAAGACTGGAAAACCCGAATCATCACCTCCATAACCGAAGAAACCGGTGCCTCCCTCGAAATGGGTTTATTCAACTACGCTACCGCTCCCAGCTTCCTCCGCTCCAGCGCCTCCACCATCACCACTCAACTCACCGGGCGCACATTCCCCTCATCCCGTTCCCCCAATATCAATGTCTACACCAAAAAACACCCATTAGGCGTGATCTTCACCCAATCCCCCTGGAACGCTCCCATCGCGCTAACACTCCGAGCAATCATGATCCCAATTCTATGCGGCAACACCGTCGTCTTTCGACCCTCCGAGATCTCTCCACGTTCTTGCGCAATCGTCTACGAAGTACTCAAAGCAGCCGGGTTACCCGACGGGGTGTTCAACTTCCTTTCAATCAGGAAGGAAGACACCCCGGCTCTCACAGATGAGATCATCACTGACGCTAGAGTTCGCAAGGTCACGTTTACGGGATCAGACCGTGTAGGCAAAATCATCGCTATGGAATGTGCTAAACACCTCAAACCATGCGTCCTCGAATTGGGTGGGAAAGCACCCGCGATCGTTTTGGACGACGCACCTGTTGAAGTGGCAGCTAAACCGATTTTGGCGGGGGCGACGATGCATAGTGGGCAGATATGTATGTCTACGGAGAGGGTGATCGTGCAGAGGGGGGTTGTGGAGGAGTTTACGGAGGAACTGCTGAAAGTCGCTAGGGAACTACGGGATAAGGGCTCGGGTGGGCTGGGAACGTTGTTCGCGGAAACGCATGCAGAGAATGTGGTAGAGATGATTCGGGAGGCGCAGGTACGGGGTGGGGCGCAGGTGTTGTTGGGTGATGTGAAGAGGGAGGGGAGTGTTGTTGGGCCGCATGTGCTGTTAATGGATGAGGATAAAAGTCGGAAGAAGGGGTTGGGGATTTGGGAGAGGGAGTCCTTTGGTCCGGGTGAGTATTAAGGTTTTTCAGAATTGCTCGTCTATACTGACGACGACAAAAAGTTCTCACTCTCACAACCGTCAACACGGTCCAAGAAGCAATTGACGCAGCCAACAACTCCGACTACAGCCTGACAAGCTCCGTCTGGATGAAGGATCTCTATTTGGCAAGGAAGATTGCCAAGGCCGTTCGAGCTGGGTATACGAACATCAACGGGAGCACCATACACTCCGAACCCGTATTGGGGTTGATTGGGTTGGGGTATGTACCATCCAATCGCATCTCTCACAACGTGTATACTGACAATCCCCACCTCACAGAGGCTCATCCGGTTACGGTTGCTTCGGCGTAGACGATTTCACCTACGAGAAATGTATCGTAATCCATCCAGATCCAGATCCAGAGGTTTGAATATGGGACAAACCACTTGTAGTTTCTAATTGGTACTCGTTTTTATATTTTAAGAGACATGTTCCTCGAAAATGAACACTTGACCCAGAGAGAGAAAAAAGAGCGGGGGGGGGGGGGAAAATTACATGTCCGAGCCGATGTGAAGTACACCGTTCGGGAATCGAACCCGAGCCGCTTGCTCACTGAACGGACCAGTCCCAGATGGAAGGCAAGCATGATAACCACTTCACCAACGGTGTTCCTTGGACAGGGGAGAAGAATCCCCGGAATCCATAGCGCGGAGCGCTACTACCATAAAGAGCTTTGGGTAAAGCGTCGCTCTCATGTTCGTTTTACTCCTCATCTCATCTCACACGCATGCAAGGATCGGATGCCCGCCTCTCAAGACTCATATGGAGGTTTTGGATTTGCACGGCGAGAGGAATAGCCGGTAGAGGATAGATAAGACGAAGAAATGGAGGGAAAAAGGAAAAGGAACGTCAGAAGTGGGATACATCATACTGTTACCTGCTCGTGAGTCGCTGTTGGTCTTCTTCTAGCGATAGTCTTGCAGGCTCCCTCTGCTTTTTGACATGCTCGAGAATTCTGAACAACAAACCTCTGTTCTTCTGTTCTTTCGTCATCGGGCTGGTACTGGTACTATCACTCGAATCTCTCCTTGTGTCGTCTCCCCCACCCCATGACGACTCTAAAGTGTTCCTTCCGACATCCAAACGGCAAGAATAGTATACATCTCGAGAAGAAATCAGGGCGTTGGTCAAGAACTCCCCAATCTAAACTCGGATTTGTTCATTCTTTTCATTTTCGTGTCCTCAAGAATCAATTCCTGGGCTCTTCCTCGGTACGGATGTGAACCTCCGACCTTGTCGCAAATTTGCGGGAAATGAATAAAAGGCCTTGAAAGGCAATATAAGCGAATATCAGGAACATGTACCTTTTAAGGGATTGTTTTAAAAACATTCTGCCGACAAGGTACCATATAAGGGGACTTACTATTGAGATTTTATTGAATAATAACGTTGGCCCTTTTTCATTGAATGGTCCGGCACCTACCCATATCAGGCCTCACCCCGGCCATATAATATGCCATACAAGGGGCCTTGTATGCCCTTATATGACACATTACAAGGACCAAATAAGGGACCAAATAAGACCCTTTGAAGGGGGCAAAAAATGCTGGCCGGCACCTTACTTGCCGGGCTTATTTATTGGATTCCCCTGGTATTCGAACCCGCGACCTCATGGTTAGGACCTTAGACCTTATAAGGTCCTTACCCATGTTCGCGTTTTTTTCTACTAGGCCAAGTGGCCTTATTTATGATACTCGCTACCT